GTTTAAACAGTATCTTGGGTGTGCATTGTGTAACTGCAACTGTTGAGGGATTTTGTGTTTTTTGATTTTGAAAGTGACTTAAGTTGAATATTTTTTCAGTTTGAAGCACACATAGGGCAAGAATGGATAACACGACCATAGTTTGCAAATATTATGGATTGTTTGTAAGCTCACATTTAAATCCCGTTTATCATAGAAAATCATCTCAGACCAAGTTGTTATTTAGTATTATTTGTTTATTTTAGCTGTTTTATTAAGAGTTCCATTATGTAGTGCAGGAGAAGCCTGTGATGCTGCTGTAGAGTGTGGTACGTGAGAACGTGCCAACAAATGAATCAGTGTTATGGAAACAAGAAGCAGGCATGTAAGGACTAGTTTTCAGGCTATTTCTTTCCAGGAAACTTGCTTGCTACTTTTGGTTTGTGTGTTGCCTAACTCATTGTTTTTAAAGATCTTACACAAATTAGAACTACTTAATTCAAAAAAGCCTCTGACTGACTTGATTGTTCTGGTGGCCTCTGAAGCCCCTTTTTTTGCCTAAATATGGAACAAAGCTTGTGTTTTTCCTTGCCTTCCCTGGGAGCACCCCTGGGCTATCCTCCCTGACTCAAGGGGAATGCTGAGAATTTCTTAGGGTTTTTTTTGTTGTTGTTGTTCTTAAATATTATTTCACAGTCTTGATTAGTATAAGTATAATTTTGCATGTGTATGAGAGAGAGAGAGATCAAAATCTGTTTTTAGCAACTAGCTTAGTATGTCTTAATTCCAAAATCAGTCATTTAGCATAAGAGGTCTTCTAATAAAGCTAGATTGGAGCTCTGTAAGCGTGGTTTACGTTTCAGCAGCTTTTCACTGGTGAACACCTTCCCGGCTTACAGTTGTGTGAGCTGGGTCAGCATCAGTCCCTAAAAGTGTGAAGATATTTTCCGTGTGGTCTAAAGACAAAAGATTGCTTAGGAAAGGATGTTCCTATTTGGCTGTTACAATTCAGGTAGTTGAGATTTAAAAAAAAAAACCTCTCCTTTTTAATACAGTAATCCATTACTCATTACTGGCTGTAGATCCTGATTTTGAAATGCCGGGAAAACGTTCAAAGAATAGTGGGCTTGAATTCTTTTTCCAACTCATATGGACAGGTAACAGCCATATTGAAAAGATGGCATAAATATTACCGGTGACCGTTCAGATTAGCAGGACGGACATAAGTGCAAGTCTGATTTGCAGTATTAAGTATTTTATTGCTAATTTAGCCTAACAAAGTAGAAACACTGATCATTATTCCATTGTTGTAATCCAGATATTACCCTGGAGTTTCAGGACTGTGCTGAAACGTGGGGAGGACACTCCTGAAGGGTTTGGAGCTGTTCTGTGGAGCTAAATCCCAGGCTGTTAATTATCCATGTGTTTATGCTAGGACTAGGAACTGCATTTACTCTTCTTCCCATTTAAGAGCCTGGTTGCAGAAACTACTCCAAATGTTTTTTTCACAATGGATGATGGAGTTGAGAAGTTGTTTGAAATAATTGTTTTATCATAGTTCAGAAGTAGGGATATCATAGTTGTAGTAGGAAGTAGTAGTAAGGGAGTTTTGTGTCTGATTTCTGGTGCCATTAAGAGATTTATCTTCCCGTAGATGGATGGGCCTTAAAAAAAAAAGAGTGTTTGATTGTCAAGACGTTTCAGCCTCTTTGGCAGGGAATTTGAGTGTTTCTGTGTTGTGTCCTTGCGTTTTTATCAGGTGAGCCTGGGTAGATACAGTAATATTAAAAAAATGAATGGTATAAGGTGAGAAAATCTAGATTTAATACACAAGGACAGGCTGCCCTTGGCCATTAGTAAAGAAAACATAAGAATGATGTTGGAGTAGAGACTGCTGTAAACACCAGCACAAGAGAGCAGTTTGTCTGCAAAGGAATAAAAAGGCCTCTAAGCTCTAGAAGAATTTTTTTAGTGAGCGGCCTCTAAATAAGGAGTACACTGGATTACTCTGGCATCTTAAAATATCATATACCTAATAAGCCAGGAAACTTATCAATTATGTATTTAGTAAAATGTAAATAAACCAGGAAATTAATGACAGTTCTACCTAATTGTTTTTTTTCATACAGACTTTAGGGTAACCAAATTCAGGGACAAGAGGAGCTGTTAAGGAGAGGTGGGCAAAAGTACAAGAGGAGAGAGACCTTGTGCAAGAGGAAAGGGAGGGAATTCATAAATCTGTTGAAGTATAAACTTCATATTCTGGGTAGCACCAGCAGAGTTTTACTATAGTGTGGCATTTTTCATTAAGGCACTGTTTCTTTTCACTTGAAATGCACATTTATAGCTGATGAGTCGTTTTTATGCGTTATTGCATTGGCTCTAAATCTGTTTTTGTTTAGTTATTTGCTTGCTTACAGGTATGAAGGGAGATGAGAGTCATTTGGGGGTATATTTAAAGATAATTGGCTTGGCAGATGCAGACCCCAGTTTGAGGTAGATGTCTGTTTTAGACGAATTGTTCAAATAACTATCTGAAGTCTGGTGCAACTTGTCATCGTTGGATGGGAAATTTGGATGGTTTATATCCATCTGATTTGTATTGTTGTTTCAACAGAGGCTTTTCGTACAGTTGCCAGTTCTGTTTCTTTTTTCAACTAAGACAACTTCCCAGCTTTGTACTAGTAACTTAAGTGAGTCATAAGATGTTCCGTATTAGTAGACTCCTACTACTACTTTAAATAAATAAATAAAGCCAGCAAAGATGGGTTTGGTTCAAATATAGTGAGATTCCAGAGAAATCTCTCTCTCTTCCTTACTTTCTCTTCCTACTCCTTCTTGCTTAGGAAAGACATTTTCCTCACTGTCCTGTGCTGTAGATGAAGACTGAAAGTAATTGGTCTTCCAGTTGGAGGGGAAAAATAGGAGGACTGGGAAACGAAAGCATCAAATGAGCATAACTCCAGCCGTGGCAGATAGAAAACCCAGGATTAGAATTAAGGTTTCAATTTGTCTTTTACTTCCTTTAACAGCAAATGGTCATATAATCTCTTGATACTTAATATTGCATCGAATCTTCTTATCTGTTTGTGAAAGAAATTAAGCTGGTCTTTTTGTTCGTGAACAGATCATAAAAGTAAGGGGGATAAACTGTAAAGATATGGCTAATACTATATATAAACTTTCTTAAGTGGGGGCAAAATTCCACCATAGAAAGTACTTTTAGACGTGTCATGTGCATTTGTGTGTATGCACAGCTAGTGAATATTCAATAGCAATAAAGTAAGATCAAATTTGCAATTCGTAGGCTGTTTCCATCTTTGAGCCTCACAGTTGCGCACTCAATCACATGTACATATTATACCTGTAAAAAAAAAAAAAAAAAGGTGGAGGCTTGAAAATCCACGAAAGTTACTTTAAGGTGCAGTTAGGCATTTTTAAGATGCCGTTTAAAGCTTCTGCTGTTCGGATGCAGTTCAGGTGTTAGTTAATATTCTGGTAGGAAGTTAATTTAAAAAAAAAAGAAATCAAGTGAAACTTGGGAAGTCAGATTTGGATGTGACCCCTTTCTCTTTACCACACTGATAGCAGAAGAATGCGAGACACTGATATCCTGAGAGAGAGAAGGATTCCTAAGCTACGTCACTGGAGGGACCTTGAAGCAGTAAAATGGCTATTTAAAATAATGCATTCTTTTTTGTAAAATATTTTTCCTAAAAGCAAAACAAAACAAACATATACAACAGCTCGATCAACTGTCATATGCTGTCCTAAATGCAGAAAGGTTGGTTTGGAATATGGTACCTGATTCGGTTAATAATCAGAATAAGAGTATTCAGTCCAAAACACTTGAAAAGCTTTGAGATGTAGCCAGAAAAAGTCCATGGTCACTGATAAAAGTAGTGCACACAGTGGTCTGTGTATTTACTCAGCTCCTGTTCTTCTTGCTAAGTTTATTCAAAAATGTTTAGATTGATAGCCAGAAATATGTGTATGACACGCAGCCCTATTGGAGTCAAAGTGTATCTTTCATATGGAGAAAATAATGGTCTCCTGGATGTATTTTTATACTTGTCTTACTCGTTCAACAAAACTGAAGCATTGCATTTTTTATTATCTGCTTTCCTATCTTGGCTTATAATATTTAAGGCCGGCATAATCAGAACACCATCTAGCTTTGTATCCATGTAGTTCTTCTGAAGTTAGTGTGTTGTCACATGAGCAATGGATCAAAACAACGAAAAATTACTGTAACTGTTGTTATATTTGATGACTTAAAGTGTATGAATCGCTTAGGAACCACCATTCTGTTCTTTTTTAAAAAGAGTTTTGATTCTTGGGCGTTTAGTTTTGATTCTTAGGAGTTTATTGAGAAGGTTTTCCAGAGGTAGGTACTTAAATTTTGGAAAGCTTTTGAAAATCTTGACCTGAATCTGTTGCTCAGTTTTCCCTAGTTTTAGAGGTTGCAGAGCAAGTGATCTTCTATGAACACTTTTTGTTCTTTTAGCAGTTCTTCTGCATTTCTCAATTAAATTTAACTAGGTGCTGAGCCTCCGTAGCTTATGGATAAAATCAATAATTTCTCATATTTGCTACCTTTGTGTAAGAATTACTGAAAAGTAATGTTTTTTTGAAGAAAAAAAAAGAGAGCTTGACCGTTAAATGAACACAATGTCCAGTGGAATTGTGAATTACAGAGCGAGCGTTGCCAAACAGTGTTGCTCGTGGAAATCCCAACAGAATTGTCAGTAATGAAAAGTTAACCCTTCTCCCAAGAGTCAAAATGTAGTTGGACTCGATCAAAATGATTGAGCAGCAGTTCTTTATGTTATAAAATGTTATAAAGATAAGACAATTTAGAAACCCAACTGAACTTGCAGTGAGTTTCTAAAAGATATTCAAAGTTTACCTGTTAAATATGCTACCATTTATCATCTCTTCCGGTGGTAACAATGCGTTAGCATGTGCCAGTTTTCCTCATGTGTAACCTTTTTTTGCTGTTCGTATTTTTACTCTTTCAGGAGTTTTATGAACACACAAAAACACTTTGGCAAGACGAAGGTGTGAAAGCTTGCTACGAGAGGTCTAACGAATACCAGTTGATTGACTGTGCACAGTAGTAAGTATGGTTTCTGTCCTGCTGTATAGACTGCTACGTACAAATTTTGCTCTGAATGTTAAAAATGGAGTGCTTTGAGTAGTCCTGGTGCTGACTTCTTTTGTACCTTTGAGAAGTAGGAATGTGCACCATATTGTGAATTTCTGTTAATTAGCCGTTCGGAGAACTAGCAAAAATTGGCTTTCAGTTAGACACCTGTTCAAAACCTTGTGAAGGCTTTAAAATGGTCTTAACACAGACTGAGACCTTAATGCAATGAGCAGCTTAACTGTCAAAGTCCACATTTCCTACTACTTCCACTTCAACCAGTTCCTTTCCAAATGACAGTGAACTTCAGATACTGCAGCAAGTTTTAATTGGTGGGAAAGTACGATAGTGTGAAACGGGTCCGTGTTTTTAGCTTTTGCTTTTAGCACAGTTTATTTATCTGAAAACAAAGAGATGGCAGCAACCAGAAACCTGTGATCAGTCACCAGGACTTCTGCTTGTGTGCCTTCACGCACATATCAGAGTGTGATTCATTCCCGTCTGCTGTTTATACTGCTGTGATAATTAGTATTGTCATGAGAGAGGCTGCTGCATGTTTGCAGTTATTTATCACGTGAAGTAATACAGTATAGTTCAGAATTTTATTATTGCAATATGTTTGTGATGATTGTGATGATTCCCTGTGACGATTCCTGGCGTTTTCACTATGTATACTCAAGAATTGCTGGGCTTAAACGTGGAGTATGAATGGCTAGAACAGCTCTGTATTAATTTATACTCTGCTTTTTCTGGAGAAGCTGAAATAAGTTTTAATGGTTAGGGAAATGCAGGCCTCTCCTTTCACGTGACGATGGAGGACTGGAATTTGTATGTCTGCTACTGAGTCTCTTAAAAATGAAAGCACGTGAGATGAAATAAAATTCGTAAGGTTCTTCTTTTGGTGTAGGTAGACTTGAAGGAAAATCAACAATTAGCTCTGCTTGAAAAGAGACCAGGGAGGTAATTTTACTATGACTTGCACAGCTCCAGCTCTTTAAAAGGCTCTTTGAAGTTATGCCATTGTTTCTAGTGTTCATTTGTTTTATTTGTAGCGATGTGTCTTCCATTAGGTGACTAATGTTTGATTGTTTGGTGTAGATCTTTCTGCAAGTTCAGCTGCTACAAAGTAAAAACTACTCAAAAATTCTTGTTTTCTGTTTAGTATCAGCTCTCCAGTAAATTCTGTCTTTATAGTGTAGAGCTAATAGAATGAGGAAAAAATTAATAGAATGAGGTAAAAATAGTTTTGTTTGGTGCTTGGTTATCTGGTTAGTGTTTGTCATCTTTTGTTATCGCTAAAGAAACAGGTAATGCTGCACGCTGTTTTCTTTTGTATTACTCCTTTTTGGAAGAGGAACAGATTTTTTTTTTTTTCCTCTGAATGTAGAGAAGAGAGCTAAAAGTTACTATCGTGCCTGACTGCTGGACATTGAGTTTTTCTTGGGTCATTGGGGAATGGCCTTTGTGGTGGTTTTACCATCCTGCTCCATCTCGTGTAGCACTGAATTTTACATCCTGGCCTTTGGGACCCCAAAAAAAAATTGTACGTTGCCGAGAAATGACAGGAATTCTTCTAAGGTATCATTTTTGTCTCCTTCTTAAAAATGCTTTGAAATTATAGTATTTATTCAGTTTGGATGTAAAGGATATGGCATTGATTTCTTATGGAAGGAGCTTTCTACTTGCTGGTGGTTATCCCTTCTGGTGTTTGTGATGGTGCATTGGTGTTGTCTTTCAGATCGGAATATGCAAAGGGAGAGGTTTTTTTAACAATAAAATGTTTGCTTGAAAGTTGATATCACTTTGAAATTTTGTGCTTGTCCTTATCATACTAAATTTTCATGTGACCGGACAGAAATTACTTCTAGTAAAATCCAACATGATTGATAGCATGAAATTAGCCCAGTGACCACATTTTTAAAAAAAAATACACCAAAGGCAAGGTATAAAAAGTAGCTGAGATTTATCAAGTGAAGACTATTTTAATTTGAATGTGCAGACTAATGTCATTAGAGGTAATAGGAGTTAAAAGAGAAAGATGAGCCGAGGACAGCGTTGGAGTTGACGGTTCTTTCAGAGTGTTAGTTTCTAAACAGTCCCCCCTTTTGAAGGTCCCTGTGTAAAAAACAGAAAAGCATACTTTGAAAGCAAAAATGTTCATTTTCTATTTCAAGATAAATGCAACTTCCAAAAATCCTTTATTCCTCTTGAAAATGGAATATATTTTTAAATATTAGTGGATTCTATGTTCTGTGAGTTTCTTTAAAATTCTAAAACAAATTTCTTGTTCACAAAAATTGAACATCACTTTTTACTGCTATTCGTAAATTTTCTTTTTAACTACCACCATCGCTGAAGGGTTGATTGCTTAGTGCAAAGTTTGTCCTTAGTTTAACATTCTATATTTTTTTTTAAAACGCATTTTTCGCTCTTGTAAGTTATGTAGTTATATATCGGAACTTCTGCAAGGTATAGCACAAGTAAGTTGTGCCAGATGTTTCAAATCAATTTTTTCTGTTTTTTACTAGGGCACAGTCAAGAATGTTTATCTTCCAGGGGTTGGTTTGGCTTTCAGAAATGTCAACAGCAAAATTACAGCATTTCTGCTTCTACCAAACTTGAATAAGATCTATATGGGACTTCTGCAGGGATATTTAAGAGTCCGGTAGAAGGGTCTTTCAAAGTCAGTGGTTTTAAAGCATGATGTAGCTTCAGGATGTTGAAGCGTCTTGAACGGAAAGTCACGGGGGAAATGGAGACTTGCACCCTTGCAGAGTTCTTGCTAGGGCAGAAAGTGTTCCGGACTAGTCGAGAACACTCCCAGCTGATACAGACCAAAAAAACGTTAGTTTTTCTTGCTGCTTATCCTTTCCCAGGGAAGTGGGAGTGAATATTAGTTCTCAACCTAATGTGACTTACCAGCGTAACTAGGCTGTGAGTATTAAGGGAATCCAGCAAGGGTATTTTTCGCCTGTTTCTGAACAGCGGCTTAAATACTACAAGACTTCATGCTGACTAGTGCGTGGGTACCTCCTGTCATTCCTCCTCCAAGTTCCTGCTTGAGTGGGCTCGGACAAGAAGACTTTACCAAAAGCTGCAGGTACCATCTTGGCTTTCCGTGGAATTGCAGCTGTGACCTTTGGAGGTGGGAGGCCAGGCCAGTAACTTCATCTGCTGGAGAGCCCGGCTGGTAGCCTGTCCTTCACCCTCAGCTTCCCACTGCGGGGAAGCGTCCCTTCGGAGGGACCCGGTTCATTTTAAGGAGTAGTTGCCTCTGCTCATCATGAGCTTTACTGCATTTCCTGCCTATGCATGTTTTACAGTCGGGAGAGGCAAAGAAAGGAAAAGAGGCTATTTCCCTTTTCTTAACCAGACTTACTAAGTAATTGGTTTCAATTCTGGAGCAGGATCTGGGAGGTTGGCATCAGTTTGGCTCCGGGAGCGAGTATTTTAGCCGTGAGGAGGGAGCAAGACGTTAAGAGGAGACCAGGTTTCATTGCTCTTGCCCGTTCTGAGGATGTACGCTGGAGAGGGTGGATGTTTTTACCGAAGCTGCCATGTGAGACTGCTTTTGGCTGCTAGTAAACAGAAGGAAAGGAATTGGCTAGAATACAGAAAACCCCAGATGATGATAAATGATTTACCACCTTTCATATTTTTTTCCTGAAGGTGCAGGATTAGGTTTTATTCAGAATGTGTTACCTAAGAATATGGGAGCCATTTCCAGGGTAATTTGCTAAAACCTGTTTGTCCAATGTACACCTCCTGTCAAGTATAAAGAAACACGATCCTTTGAAGTGCTGTTGTTGCCCGTACTTCTCCAACAATTTTTGTCTGAGGATCTGGGTGCTTCAAGCCTCACAAATACCCAGCCACGTAGTCAGAATACGTAGGATCTCTGTTATTCTCTGTTATACAAATGAGCTGAATGTGGCTTGAGGGCACGAGACTTCCTCGCATCCTGGACGGCCTCGTCCGAAGCCTGTGGATGCCCCTGAAGATAATTGCTTTGACTTCAGTAGTCTTTGCCCTGTAGCAAGTCAAGTGCAAAGTGTGGGTATATAAGCCTCCTAATGCTGTTTTTTTTTTTTTTTTTTTTGCACAGGTAGTTGTTAGGCTGTGCCCACAAATATATGGATTTTTGCTTTAGTTATCCTTGTCTTAGTTAGATTCCTTGGTCAGGGTTTTTTTTTTTTTGCTTCATTCTCCACTGCGCTTTCTCTGTATATCTTCTAGCTGACACTTCCTGGTTTTGGCCGGGGTGGAAAAGGAAATAATGCGAGAGACAGTATTTGCAACCGATTTCACACCCTCCGCTATCAGGAAGGGCTGGAAGCAGCATGAGGGAGCCTATTCTCACGCTATTTCCGGCTCGAAAGCCTCGCTCGGCTTTCTCCCGCTGCTGCCATTTCGGGGAAGGAGAGAGCGCGGGGAGGTTGCTGCTGTAGGTACAGCAGGTCGTATTTCTCCAACTTCAGCACCCGCCGAGCCACGCTGATAGCTTGAAAGTGTGCCAGGCTGCTCCAGGAGAGTTTTATGAGAAATCTTTGTAAAGATATTTGTTTTTAAAATACTTATCAAAGAAGGGGAAAGAGCGCAGCTATTAACTGACTGCTGCGCAGGGCTGCAAAAGGGTCGGCAGATGTGGACGTACTGTTTTTTTTCATTTCTTACTTGTTATGGGGTGTAAATTCTTTGTATTTTAACATTTATGGTGTGCTTTGTTTCTGGACTTGCTGACTTGTAGAGAGCAACTAAGAGCTCCAATTTGGTACTTAATGATTTTCTTCCATATTGATTTCACTTCGTGACAAAGTTCCCTCCGTGAAGCCTGTAGCAAGGTGCGTTTGCTGCAAGTCTGTCCTTTCTAAATAGCGATTGATTTATCAGTCGTGCTGTTAGTACAGTTTCTTATCCATAGTATTTATTAATTTTTACTTTTTGATTTCTTTCCACTCGATAGCGGACTTGAG